GATAGCTTTTGCGTGTAAACACGCCCACTGTGGAACATCCAGGATGCACCGCGGTAGTGGCGGACGTGTTTATACGCAAAGAGTATCAGTCCTGTTTTTGCCCCGGCGTGTAAACCGGCCCTAAGATTTGCACCTTTAGCCTGCTCGACATTATTCTGGATAAAAGAAGAAATAGACGCCTCTCTGTTAACCTGTTATTAAGCTAACTTGTTATCGAAGATCAAACACACTGACATCGATTAGATGCATAAAAAACTCATTCGTACTCCCCTAGGCGTTTACTGATTTAGTCCGTATTTTTAAAAACCCCATCCATTTCAACTATGCGATTATACAAGATACAATTTTTGATGTTACAGACACAAAACACAACATAATGTGATATCACAGACACAAAACGTACATTTTCAGTTTATTTGTTTTACCAGTAATAACAGCTTAGGACATTTTGTCCTAGTTTACAGGTAATCCCCAGGTTATACGTAAAATTACACACAACAAAATCACAAAATAATTTTCTGTAGAAAAAACTCCTTTGTTTATGAAACTCGCAGAGTGATCAGCTTAATATTGAGAAGAAAATTGAGCAGCTCTAGTGGAAACTACTGATGTTGAAAGTCGGAAACATTAAAAACAAGTAAAATCTGAGATTTTATACCTCCGGGCTTTTTATTGTATATTTTTATATGTTGTTTGATATGTATAGTTAATGGTGTTGAATTTTACGTGTTAGATTCAGCGTTCATCTGCAGCCCATAACATGTAGTCACGAACTTATGAAATTCTATTTAAACTGCCGCAAAAAACTCGTAATGAAACTCAGAATGACAACTGGAACCGTTAAATCAGACGTTAAAAATAACGGCTTTACTTAGCAAGCCATCCTCATTATCACTTCCTCCATTTTCCGCCGATTCTTCGTATAAATCGGGGAAGTTAAGGTCTGAATCCTCGGTAAAATGTCGAGAACGTCTGAGACCGTATACCGCGGTATTTGTAAGTTAGAAGTTGTCATATACGCCGAAAACATCCAAAACAAAAATCGTGCAAGAGGACGTTGACCTCTGACCCATTGTCCCACCCGGAAGTTGCCGATTCACGCGTCCTGTGAACCAAAAATACCATCCAAACAACAATTGTTGCGCCTCGCATACAGAAGATGCATGTGCACAACAACAATTGTTGCGCGCCGCAGGACTAGGGTTTTAAACAAAGAATTTATTGACATCGGACACCCCTCTGTGCGAGAGGTCATCTTTGTGGACGAGACCGACATATGCCTGACATACGCAAAAGGTCAACGGTCGCGACCACTTTCACGCTCAAAGGGGTGTTCTGGGGCCACCAACAGGCTAAATTTCCACGCCCGAAAACACATACACAATAAAAACAAAGGAACGTGCATCATCTGCAGCCCAATATCAAGACATATACCGAGTCCCAAAAGAATCCGTCCACTCAAACGCGAGAAACCGCTGCGAATATGAAAATCTAAAACGGTGTCTTGTCCAGTCAGTAATCGGCAAGTTCCAGGACAACTCTGACACAGACAACATATGTACATGGTCTGCGGCTTGCAGGTGTGGAACATGCATAGAGTTAAGACCTCGCTGACATTTACGTAGAATGACATTTGATTTATTAATGTCCATATTTTTGTATGTATGTTTATGTATTGCTTTCATGTATGTATGTATGTATGTATGTAAGTCCTATAGCCTTCACATAATGTGTTTAAATCCAATGCTGTTTTATACTGTTTTTTATTGTTGTAATTAGGGGAGGGAGCTGGTAAATGTAACCAAGCTGTTCTCCCTCCCCCTCCATGCATGTGCTGGAAATTTTTAATAAACGAATAAACAAATAAATCTCTCACAAAGCCCTTCCGCGGAATGATGTCTCGTCCCCGGAGGCAAAAATACTAGATCTACTTTAATGCGTTCTAGCAGTAAGGAGAGTTTTTTCACGGCGTATAATCACCCATATCTGATATAGTTTGCGAATTTTATACACCACGGCAGTAACAGCAAATGAAATAGAAATATGAAATCAAGCTAGACGTTTATGTGTTTATTCAAAGTTTTCGTCGAAATAGCTGCTTTACTTCTGTAAGTCCTGTATCTTATTACCTCCATGAAAAATGGAGGTATTGTTTTTGGCATCTGTGTGTGTGTCTGTCTGTCTGTGTGTCTGTCTGTGTGTGTGTGTGTTTGTGTTTCCGCACATTTGTAGTCAGCATAACTTCATAACGCCTTTATGGATTGTGATGATATTTGGTTTGATGATAAGTCTTAGGAAGTCAAAGGTCAAGGTCAAATATGGGCCTCCTGGTGGATGACCTTTTTACTGCAGCAGAACTTCCGGTTTTTGTATCTTTTGTCCTGAACATGCTATAGTCTTGAATTTTTGGTGACAGATAGATTTTTCTGTCAGGAATAAATGGTGTGGGTTTAGTCTCCCTAGCCGCTTGTTCTGGAACTGCAGGGGACCTTCGGGCGAAATCTTTGAAAGCCAATAGGTCCAGATAGGAACAACGTATTTTCATCATTTTAGTAGGTAGAGAGTGAGATGTACATAATTAAAAGCAAATTATGCAAATGGAGACTTTATTTACATAATTAATGAGGAAATTCTATAATTACAGTGTTTTACATCATAGTATTTTCATACATGTAATGTATGTAACCTATGGCAGATGGAACATCAACAGATAGTAATTATGCAAATGATGATCTAATTTGCATAATTAATGCGAAAATTCTTTGATTTCTTAATGGTGAATGATGGGAATGTCATACTTGGGACATCTGTAAGTTAATCAAAAGTTAACACCACGATGCATATATTATGTTAATCATTTGCATAATTAAAGAATAAATTTACATTTACATATCAAGCCCATATTTCATGGAGGTATGAGATCTCGGAACTCTTGTTTCTAGTTCTTTTTAATGTAACCCGATGTAGACTGGGCTATTTTGGGATTAGTGGGACGGGGGAGGGGGTCTTGCTCATTCGCCCCCCCCCCCCCTCCAGAACTCGTGAACGGTATGTCGTATGACCACCAAGAGGATGTCGTACTAGTAAAATTTTATCATAACTACAATTTCCTTGGTACTGCAGCAGAACTTACGGTTTTTGTATCTTTCGTCCTGAACATGCTATGGTATAACGCTTCCTGTCGGCTCACAAATTGGACGGATGTTCCCCCATCCGTAACCCTCTCCTATTGGTCCTCACTTATTAGTTCTCTTCGGAGTTTACGAAGAAGAGAACTTGGATTTTTGGTGACAGATATCTTTTCCTGTCAAGAATACGTGTTGTAAGTTTTGAGCCCCTAGCAGCTTGTTCTGGAACTGCAGTTGGTTTCTGGTAAAATTTTAAAGCGGATAAGTCAAGAAAGGAACAAGTTGAACGTAGATTCATCATTTTTGGTGCATATGTAGCTTAAGCTTATAGCTGTGTATATATAATTATGCTAATGGAGGTTAAATTTGCATTATTAAGTAGACCATTCTGCAATTATAGTGTTTTACATAATAGTACTTTCATACATGTGATGTATGTAATCTATGGCAGGTGAAAAATCAACAGATACCAATTATGCAAATAATGACCTAACTTGCATAATTAATGTGAAAATTTTGCGATTTATTAATGGTGAATGATGGGAATATTATACATTGTGATATGTGTAGGTTAACATTACTATGCACATATCATGTTAATGTGGTTGTCATTTGCATAATTATTGAGGACATGTTGAAATGAAATATTGCCAAAGGATATGAATTCCTCACGCGAATATTGTAATTCGAGTTTAGAAACCCAACCATTAAAGTCTTAATTACGACCTTAGGCAACTGCAAGTTATTTTCATGGATGACATCCGCGCGCGCATTATTTTTCGCCTGATTTTGGAGAAAAAAGAACAAGAAATTTTGTTGCCCTGACAGTGGTCAACATGCTAGGGGGACCAAACTCACATCACTCAAACTCACAATTCCACGTTGCCATTTTATGACGATTTACCACATTTGTGGAAGGATTGACATAACAGGTGACTATCACCTCTTCAAAGATGTAAACCCCGAGACTGGACTGTAAGGCTTGAACCACTCACACCGGGAAGGTCCCCTACTCTTTTCGATAAGTGCGGTGGGTTCTTTAACGTGCGTGGGGTGTGGCTCTCCCAAACACGGGACCTCCATTTAACGTCCTATCCGAGGGACGTCCCTAGCCGAAGCTAGGTACTCAATTACACCTGAGTGAAGTGGGGAAAGTCGTGTAAAGTGCCTTTCCCAAGGGCACAAGATCGGTGACATGGGCAGGGTTCGAACCCACGACCTCTCGGGTGTGAGCCGAACGCGCTACCGACTGCGCCACACGACCCCACAACTGCGCCACACGACCCCATGTCGGAAGGTGGATGGAAGATAACTATAAAGATAGGAGACAAGAAAAGGCTCTGATTTAATGTTTTGTTTCTTACCTTGATGCAGTGATATGTGATGCTGGCTGTGTATATGTGATGTTCCCACTGAATCAAAACCATTTGTACAATGATTGAGTACAAAATTTTAAAATGTAGGAACCTTGTTTTTCAGCCCGCCTTGTTTTTTTTTCGCCCGCTCGCATAAGATTTGGAGTCTGCGGAGGATGCCATCCATAAAATTTACTTGCTGTTGCCTTACTTCTGATACAATGAGACAAATCCCCCCAATAACAATTTTACATAGTATTATTACTCTACGTATTAGACAATATGCAACTTTACCTTTTTACCTGCTTTGTGCTGTGAAATTATCATTCATAAATTTTAACTATCAACCCCCTTCTTGGCTCCCATACTTGATAATTTTCTAATTAGTGCCACCAGACAAACAAGTAACGCTCAGAAATCTAGTATTGATTTTGAGACATTTTAGTGAGATGCTATGTTTGTGTAAATTGCAATGAATTTATGGCATGAGTAACGGTATTTTTCTATTGCTTCCTACTCAGAGTTCACTGGGTCTTTAAACAACTAATCCATTGGCAAGAGGCAAGGTTTGCATCATTTTTACAATGGGTAAGCACAAGGTCATTACTTAGTTACTGAACTATTCACTTCCTGTTGCTTTAACTGTGGTTAGGTTTATTTATGAATCGATTGATTTTATATTGAAGGGCACATCCCTCAGTAGGAAGTTGAGGCACGTACCTATTCAAAAGTAGATTATATA